AAGTCAGAATTGATTTGATGGCACATGGTAGTGAGGATGAGGATGAGGATGAGGATGATGGTGATTAGGTTGATACTATACTGTATAATGTGTTTCTTTCCCCCTCCCCTTTGTCTTTGGCCAGGTGCTATCCCACCAGAGTCCAAGCCCTCCTCTTCCTACTTATACCACATCCGAGCAGCTGCGGCTTTTTGCTCAAGAAGCCCAGAACAATGAAGATTATCTTTTGGCAGCCACTTACTATCAAGAGGTTAAGAATCTCCTCCCTCCCCTCAGGCAGAACAGCTGGGGGGGGCAACAGAGGTTCTCCCTTAACCTTGTGACCTTGAGAACTGGGAGCGTGCTCGAGTCAATTGTATTCTGCCTGTCCTAGAGGCCATCGTCTGGATGGAAAAGGCTGGGATTTTCTTGGTAGCATCAGTATCTTCCCTGGTGTAGAACCAATGAGCCCATTTGCATTTTGTTGGGGAAAACCTAGGAACTGGAGCCATCATAGTTATGCTGCTCTCTGGCACATAGCAGTTGGGTTTACTGGCAGCCTGCTTTCTTGTACACTCTACACTGTTCAGCTGGCATCCGTTTCTTGGTCCCTATGCCTAAGCAGAAAACATATTCATGTCAAGTTTCATATTCCTCATATTCTAACATATCCATTTTTCTCTTATCATCTGTGTCAGAAGCGGTAGCGCCCTTCTCCACCGCAGAGCACATGTTTTCTGTCCCTCCCGTCTTTGAAAATAGCAGCACGGGAGCAAGGTCTTTATCTCAGCCACTCTGAGCTACTGGCTCTGCTAGATCATCATTGAGATGGTCGTTAACAGAGCTCATCATGGGTAGTTCTCTAGACATCTGACCAAAGGATTTTTATCTATAGTGGTGTTGCTTGGGTAAGGGCTGGGTTCTTAACAGAGCCCATCATGGGTAGTTCTCTAGACATCTGATCAAAGGATTTTTATCTCACCACTTCTGTAGTGGTGTTGCTTGGGTAAGGGCTGGGTTACAACCATCCCTTGCCCCTTAAGACCAAAACCCCATAAGCCCTAGCCCCATAGGACCAAAAGAAAACCAGATCAAGATCCTACGATGCCAGTCAGCCATAGGTGTGGGGCCATGATCTGGGGCTGCATGTCGGATCTTCAGCTCTCTCCACTCCAAACCCCAGAGCAGAGGACTCCTCACCAGTGCGCTGATTTTTGTACCCCCCAGAGATTAACTCGTGACCGCCAGGATATTGAGAGCTGGTTGGATTATGGAGCTTTCTGTCTGCTGACTGAGGACACACTCAAGGCCCAGGAATGTTTCCGCGAAGCGCTTGCATTGAACCCAAAGCACGTGCGGAGGTACCTCTTAGTCTGAGGAAGGGGTCTGTGGCCCCATTCAGAAATTTCTCATACGCAAGAAGAATGGGGCACAGCAGAGGGAGAGCGCAGATCTTTCTCTCCTTGACTCTCAGCAAGCTCTGTAGGAAATCTATCATGATTTGAACTTTTTTTGGCTGTCGTGTAAAGAACTATTTTTTTTTACAAAAAGGTGTTTCTTCCACCCTTGGTTTTTGTCTGGTCAGCTTGCTTCTCTGTGGGATCACGGCGGTGATGCTGGAGAACTACGAAGAGGCCGAGGTCTTCTTCGAGCAAGCCACGTGTCTGGAGCCCTCCAGTGTTCTGGCTTGGACTATCTTAGGTACCACTTGAACTAGATTTACTTATGTGGTCTTGCTAATGCTTTCTGTCATCCTATGTTTCCATCACGGTTCAGCGACAGGACCCCCATCTGCCACGTGCGTTGAGAGGGCTTGACCTCCCTAAAGGAAGCCCTTTTCTTCGCAGGAATGGAGCAGGGCGGTTAATGACGGGTCATTTTGGAGGCCACTCGCTCGTAAGGCCACCAAAAGTCAGAGACAACTTGACGGCACTAAATAACAACGACAGCAACATTCGTAGGAATTCTGAGTATTTCTTCCAACCTATGGCATTGCCTTGGGAAGGAAAATAAAGAGATGGAAAGTTGCTATATTGAATCTTTACGGGAAGAAGATACAGCTTCCAGGTATGGTTGGACAGGAACTCCCAGCAGTCTTCAATGTGCTGGCTTGAGCTCATGGGAGTTGCGGTCCAGCCACATCTATAGCACGGCACTCTGACTGCCCCTCCTTTAAGGCACGGGGCCAAGTGGATCCAAGCATTTGCTACAACTGTCTTTATTTGAGAAAACCAGGATCCAGAGGCATGTAAGGCAATTCCTATTTATAGCTTGGTGCTTGTTCTATGAAGTTCCCATTCATTGCCCATTTGTGCCTGATTCCCCTTCTAGGGAAAACCAATGCTTTAGTCCTGGAATCACTGGTCCTTAAAAATGGCTCACTGCATGATGAACACAGAGCCCTCAAAAGTCACCTCAAACTAGAGACATTAACACAGCGTCATCAGCATATGGGAGGATTAAAAGTAGCCGAGTGGCCAAATGAGGGGAATGAAAATGAAGATGGATGAACGTTTCACTATTGAATTGTAGAGGTTAAAGAGTGTAGGGGCTAAAATACTCCCCTGTTTGACTTTATTAAAGGGGAAAACAGGTCTAGACAAGACTTTACCATGGTGGCAGTTCACCTGTAGCCTTGTATTTTCATGCAAGCATCCAATAAGCAACAGTAGTCTATCAATACGGGTGTTCTCAAATGTACTCTGTGACTTATCTCTCGGAGGGTATGGGAGGAAGAGAGATCCAGGTGAGGATCCTGATGCAAAGCTCTTACCCTTTTCCCCAGGACTGTTCTATGATATGCAGGAGAACGAGATTAGGGTCGAGATGGCATTTCAGGAGGCTACCAAACACCAAAAAGCTCGCCTGGCCAAGGAGAAGCCCCCACCCGAGTGCGCAGATGGAGGAGGACGAAAGATGATCTCTGCCCCCAGTTCGAGAACTCAGTCTTTCAATGTTTCCATGGAGGAGCTAGGTAAGCTGCCGTATCCAGGCAGCGAGCAGGCAAGAGCTGTTGGGTGCTCCTCACTTCTAGCAGGACTGTTAAGACAGACCAGGAAGGGTTTGCGTAGCGTCTCATCCGATCTGAACAGCTTGCCTTTCGGTCCCCCAAACAAGCCAGGATTCATAAACCAACGACAAACCCCGGTTTGCAAAAGAGGGCAGCAAACCAGGATGTCCAATTCAGATGCCACACTAAGCAAACCCCTTTTTCATGTACCGTATTTTTCTGTGTATAAGACTATACTTTTGTGTAAAATCTTTAGACTAAAAATTGAGAGTAGAAAAACAAGTGGAAGGGAAAACAGGGATCAAAGCAATCCTACAGGGCTTTGATCCCTTTCCGCCTACACTTGCTAAGCCCCACTGTTTTCATGTATTCAGGAGCAGTACTGGCAAGGGGAAGCAGATACTGCTTTAAAACTTCCCACGTACTTAGTTGAGAGCGTGGCCCCTGAAACCTAAAACACATCACCAACATCAGCCCAGCTGAAGAAACCATGACCTCCGAGGGATTAACATCCGATGCCTGCAGCAGCTCTTTCCATGGCTCAGAAAAGGCTTCGGAAGCAGCAGGTTGTCTGGAAGAAACTCCAATATTTTATCAGGAGCAGTACTGGCAAGGGGAAGCAACCCAGGAGCTCAGTGGCATATACTGCTTTAAAACTTTCCACGTACTTAGTTGAGAGTGTTTTTTCCCCCAGTGACAGAGGAACACACAGAGTCTGACCATTCATTTCTCCAGTCCAGCCTGTTTGAAGGGCCATGAATTATCTAAGATCTCAGGGAGATGATTTCCCCCCAGTTCTACCACCTGGGATCTCAGGGCTGGAAAACGGGAGCTTCTGAAATCCACTTCCGCCTGAGCCACAGCCCAGGGAACAGATGAGGCCAGGGGTGGGCTTGCGAAAACCTTTGCTTTCCCTAACACCCAGCTAGGTGGCCCCTGAAACCTCAAACACATCACCAACATCAGCCCAGCTGAAGAAACCATGACCTCCGAGGGATTAACATCCGATGCCTGCAGCAGCTCTTTCCATGGCTCAGAAAAGGCTTCGGAAGCAGCAGGTTGTCTGGAAGAAACTCCAATATTTTATCATAGTTTTGAGGAATCCTCCACCTGAAGAACCTTGTTTAGGAGGGATAGAAATACCCCACAAAGGTCAATACTTAAAGTCTGGTCAGCTATAGTTTCTGTGGAAATGCTATTTACAGTGGTGCCTCGCTTAACGACGATAATCCGTTCCAGGAAAATTGCTGTTAAGCGAAAACATCGTAAAGCAGAAATAAAAACCCCATTGAAATGCATTGAAACCCGTTCAATGCATTCCAGTGGGGTATAGCGATGAATCCGTCCCTAAACACAGCGAGGAGGCATTTTAATCACCCAACGGCCATTTTGAAACCGCCAATCAAAACATTGTTTCACGAAGAATCGGTTCCTGAAGCAAAGTGAAATTCCCCCATTTAGACATCGTTTTGCGATCACAATTGTGATCGCAAAAAGATCGTTGTAAAGCGGATTTGTCGTAATGTGGGGCAATCGTTAAGCGAGGCACCACTGTATTAATAATCAATATCCCCGCTTTTAAGTGGAATGCCTTGTGGTCTGAGGTCCGAGAGCCCAGCAGATTTATCCATGTATAGCTAGCTTTGTATTTCTCTTTTTGCTGATTTCCCATTAGTTTCTGATGAAGTTCAAGACACCTCCATGAAAACCCAGGCAGAGTCTCTTGAGCCAGCCTTGACTCTTAGTTTGCCGGAAGAGGAAACACTGCCTATGCCAATGTCTAAGGCATCCAAGAGGCTGTCAACCATTTCCAGCAAAATGAAGGTGGCCGTTCAGAAAGGTGAGGAGCTGCAAAACGGCCATTTTGAAACCGCCAATCAAAACATTGTTTCACGAAGAATCGGTTCCTGAAGCAAAGTGAAATTCCCCCATTTAGACATCGTTTTGCGGATTTGTCGTAATGTGGGGCAATCGTTAAGCGAGGCACCACTGTATTAATAATCAATATCCCCGCTTTTAAGTGGAATGCCTTGTGGTCTGAGGTCCGAGAGCCCAGCAGATTTATCCATGTATAGCTAGGTTTGTGTTTCTCTTTTTGCTGATTTCCCATTAGTTTCTGATGAAGTTCAAGACACCTCCATGAAAACCCAGGCAGAGTCTCTTGAGCCAGCCTTGACTCTTAGTCTGCCGGAAGAGGAAACACTGCCTGTGCCAATGTCAAAGGCATCCAAGAGGTTGTCAACCATTTCCAGCAAAATGAAGGTGGCCGTTCAGAAAGGTGAGGAGCTGCAAAGTCTGGGGTGGGAAGAAGCAGGGGGGGGTGATGACCCCAAGTAACAGAAGGAGATGCGCTCAGTGTTGTTCTGGAGTGGCAGAGAAATCAGAATGCCTCGCTTTGTCCCCTGCGTTTCAGAAGCCACCAAGCCTCTTGCAGTTGTGTTTGAAACCGAGCCTTCCCGAGCCCCTCCCTCGCAGGCCCCCACCACCATCTTCATGGAGACCATCAGCTTCTTAATGGACGTCAATGCCCTTCAGGTGAGTGGGAAGCACCTGCGGATGGGGTGGAAGAAGCCGAGGCTGCTTGGAGGCGGCCGCTGTCTGTTCTATCTAGCAAGAGGTTCCTAGGACTGCAAGCTTGAATGGGTTTTGCCCCCTCTAAAGGATTTGCCCGTTCCTTTTGGGAGAGCCAACCATAATTGACGGAGCTGCAAAATAAATGCAAGCTTCTAGGCTTTGTTTGGTTTTTTTTTCCCCTTTTGGATCTGGGCATGTTTGCTCTGAAAAAGTGACTTCCTCTCCTCTCTGAAGAAACTGCTGAAATGGTTGTTGTGGGTTTTTTGGGCTCTTTGGCTGTGTTCTGAAGGTTGTTCTTCCTAATCTTTCGCCAGTCTCTGTGGCCGGCATCTTCAGAGGACAGCACTCTGTGCTCTGGTGTAGTTTGCTTGGGAGTGGAGTATTTATGGCTGTGAGATCGGCTTTTGTCCTTTACAGGAGATGGGTGATTAGTGTGTCTTGTTGTGGTTGTATTGCACAGGGCAGCCATTGAAATCCACAAGCACCAGCAGAACCTCAACAAAAAAGAGGAAAGTTTAAAACTCAACAAAACTTGGCTCACAGCTCTGATAAATACAGCATGCAAAAGGTCAACGATCTCTACCCAGCCACAAGGACCAGGGATCACTACACACAAAAGACCAGCTAATGACACCCATCAATCACAGTGACAGATAATCTCTCCTCCTTATCACCACAATACACCCGCAACAACTAATCACCCAGAACACGGCCAAAGAGCCCGAAAAACCCACAACAACCATTAGATCCCAGCCGTGAAAGCCTTCGCGAATACATTAAACTGCTGAAACTGATCATTTTCTTGCTCTAATTTAAGTTTGGTAGCCATGACAGTCGGTCCTGATTCTGCAGCGTCTCCCTTTCCCGGACACACGATGGCCCGTTTCCTTTTGTAGTTCAGGATGGCAGGGACAGAAGGCCCAGGTGTCGCAGGGGAACTGGCCGGGGAGTCAGCCCAGGCCTTCTGGGCTGGATCCTTCCCTCAGCCGTGCTTTCCCCTCTCAGTTCGTGCACAGGGCCTTGGCGCACGAACTGGTCTGCCCTCAAGGAGGCCCCAGCTGTGAATATTACCTGGTGCTGGCCCAGAGCTATTTGTTGCGGAAGGATTACAGCAAGACGGACAAATACCTCGAAATGGCGATCCAGATTGATTACCTGGCAAGTATCTCTGCGTTTCTCTCTACCCAGGCAACACAGGGAAGAGGCCACTGAAGACAGCAGAGCATCCCTTGAATATGGCCACACAATTATGTCATCTGTGATGTCCCTGGTTTAATTTTTTTGATTTCCAGGGGAAAAAAGTAGGGGAAAAGTAGGGGAGGCATGGAGTTGGTTTTGCCACAAGAATTTAGCAGGTCTAGCCCTTTTCAATATGTACCACATGTCTGTGTTTTGGGGGAAACTATTTTCCCCCGCCTGTCAACTTTCTTCACTGCCCAACTTTCACACCCCTCCGTGGTGATCGGGGGTAGAAGGATGTGGACGGTCTTGCCTTTGGTCTCCGGGGACACATCCTTAGGCCTGAATATCTTTTAGCTTCTTCATGGATGCCCTTCCGAGTCTCTTCCTCCCTCTTCCTCCCAACCCATTTCTGTGTCTGCAGAATCCTAATGTTTGGGCTCAGAAAGGCCACCTGTGTTACCTGACAGGCCACTTCGGGGAAGCCAAAGCCTGCTACGAGCGAACAGTCAGTTTCGTAACCGATGCAAAAGATATGCATTTTGTGTATCTGCGATTGGGCTCCATCTACTTGGAAGAAAAGCAGGTGAGGAGGCTGAACAATAAGAGGGGAAAAAGAGGGAGGGAGGGTGGTTGATGATGGTGATGACACCTAAGGCAGAACTTCCATGGATGGAGGCAGTTTATCTCTGAAAGCCAGTGGCTGGTGGGCAAAAGTGCTGTCGGTTTTAAACCCTGCTTCTGTGCTTCCCAGAAGCCTCTACTTGATCCCCATTTGAAATAGGACACCAGCCCTGCCAGTTCCTTTTCGGACTAGAATATTCTGGGCCGAGGCCAGTCTGGTTGGAGAATGCTGCCAGTTGTCTTCCAAAGAAGAGTAACATTTCCCAGCTTCATCTACCGGCCTGGCTGGCCCTTTGATCTCACCGAAAACGCTCCCTTTGCTCCGTGTGGTGTAAATCCTTTGAGTCTGTCTTTTTTTGACTAGTCGGCAAAACTCACTGTGAATGGACGGTGTAATAAGAAGAACGGGTTGATCGCCCCCATCCTCCCCTCCCCTTTCTCCCCTCTGTTTTCTGCCAAGACTTAAGATGTGCAGCCATCATCCCCACCCAGCAGATCATGTAGACGTGACCAGCTATTATCTGTGGAGAGATTCCTTTCCAGCAGGATGGCTGAAGATAGCTCATCGAGAGCCCTCTTAGCCCACAGCATAAACAGCCACTGCACAAGAGACTTAACTTTTGCCGATCTTTTCTTTCGGCAGTACGAGAAGGCAAAGAACACCTACCTGCTGGCCAGTAAGAAGTCACCGTCTTGTCTCACGTGGCTAGGCGTCGGCATCGCCTGCTACAGGGTAAGAGGTGAAGCTGCTTTGGATGTGAAGCCCCGGTTGCTTAGGGGCAGAGTAGCTACTTGAGGCATCGCCTGCTACAGGGTAAGAAGTGAAGCTGCTTTGGATATGAAGCACCAGTTGCTTAGGGGCAGAGTAGCTACTTGGCATGGAGAAAACCACGGATTCAGTCCCTGGCCTCTGTTTGTTTATTTATTTATTTATATCCCACCTATCTGGTCATTGCGACCACTCTAGGCGGTTTAGAAGGACTCCCAGCTGAAGTGCTGGAAAGCTTATGTTAACCATGCAGGTATTACTGAGATACAGTAGATATCAAGCTACTTCTTCATACCATACTGTATCTTCTGTCTCATGTTGGAAGTCTCATGTTGGGGGTAGGTACTCTGGAAGGCCATAGTCCCGTGGCTAAGCACAGGTTTCACAAACAGGAGCTCCCCGGCTCTGGAGGTACATCACCTGAAACTCTTGATGGCCACTGCTCATCAGTAGAGACCAGTGGCTTTCCTCTGCCAGATATTTTGGATTTCCACTTCCAGAATCGCTGAGGACTGACCACGAGTTGGGACATGGGGCTGCTGATGTCCAAAACATCTGGAGAAAGTTGAGAACCACCGGCATTAGTATGAACAGGGCCGAGCTGGACAGGCCAGTAGACTGACCTCCAGTAAGCTGTTGAGATGGTGTCTCTGCCAAGGAATTTTAGCACTGGATCTGCTCATTAGACAAAAGGCTTTAAAAATTGTGGGACATTTGTCTCCATGTTTAGTTACACATTTATACATTTCTAAGCCCCTTCCTGCCAACACCCAGAGAGCTAGAATGACCGTTTTAAGGGCAGAAGGAAGCAAATCACAGATCCACAAATGGGATCTCCCACTCTCAGTGAAAAGCACAGAGGGAGGTCAGAATGGCTGCATGTCCCATGGGCCATATAGCACCTTTTCCTTGTGCAGGTGGAAATGAAAGTCTGGTCAGGAGAGCCGTACCAAGGGAAGAGTCAACCATTCCCTCCCTCAGCACCTTTGAGAGAAGAAGACCGTAGCTAATGCCAGCATAATCAGTGTTGAGGCCTTATCCATCCTGCCTGTGATGGACACAAGATGTAGGACACCAGCCATGCAACCAGAGGAGGTAGCCTTGTTCCATTAGGCCTTTTCTCTCTGTCTGTATGGATCCTGGTCATAATCTGGTACGGTTGGCAGGGACTAGCAAGATCTCCCAGGAAGCAAGAGGTTTCCCCCAGCCCTGCTGCCTTTCAGCCGGCACCATCAGGAACTAAACTCCAGCTGGGAGTTTGGCATACCTATATCTGGTACTCTACTTCATAAATCATGGGGGAGTACCATGAAATCTAGCGATTGGCCGCTTTTTGTAGAACCGGGAAGTAAAGATGTTTGGAACGGCCAAATACGAAGAGGAGAGGACCGTGAGTGCATCCACAGCACAGTGGGACGAGAAGGCTAGCCTTCGAGGCAGGCCGCACATTGCTTGCCCTGATGTCCAGGTTTTCATTGGATAAAGTCTATCTTCTTCCTCTCTAAAGCTTAAAGAGATGGCGGAGGCAGAAGATGCTCTCTCTGAGGCCAACGCCCTCAACAACAATAATGCCGAAGTGTGGGCGTACCTGGCCCTCGTCTGCATGCAGGTGAGCACCCAGAAGGCTTTTCCTTTTCTCTGGAGGGCGGGGAAGCAGCTTGGGAGAGATAAATGGGTGGGTTCAAGGAAGGGCCTGAGGCCAACAGGGTCTCGGACATTGCAATCTCCAGGCCTCTTCTGCTTCTCTCCGAGGGAAACAGAGGACATCTTCACAGATTTGATGGGAAAGAGTGGAGGGTTCAGGGATGTAGGCTGTCAGGACAGAAACGTGGAGACCTTGTTGAAAGTTTTTTTTTTAAAAAAAATTCCAGTACAATCCCTCGTCGCTATTTTTTTCAGGGCGGACGTCAGCTGGAGGCAGAACAATCTTACAAATATGCTGTCAAGGTTTGTCACATTTTTCTTAACGCATTGATAGAGGGGTGTAACTTTTGGATCTAGGGAAAACAGCAGGTCGTAATTGTTAAGGCCAGGATTAATTAATGCATCCGTTCATTCGGGGGCAACTTAAATGACAGGTTTCCATTTGGGAAAATTGTAGATGGCATCTTTCCGTTTCTAGTAGGTTCCATAAAGCAGAATGAAAAGCCTCTGCAATTTAAGCCAGTGGGAAACATATTAAAGTGCAGATCTCAGCAACGAGTAAAAACCAACAACTCCCCAAGCCTGCACTCGCAATCCAGAACACAATTACTTTGCTTCAAAATCAAATCAAATTATGATTCCCAACATTATGGGACATCCAGCCCATGCATAGTTCTGGAAATAAGAGGTCATTCCTGCAGCCTGAAGGATATGAAGAGAATACGGTCTTCTCCAAGTGCTATCTGTTGCCACTTGCCCTCAATTGGTTAAATTAAACAGTAAAGGCGAACACAGTTTGTGGGGAGGGGGGGAACTCTATGGCTGAAATCCAGTCGTGCAACGTCTGCCACATAAGGCTTATAATGTTATCAGCTATGACAGTTTTTCAGGAATTAAAAATTTCTCAGTCCCGTTCCCAAGTCCCGATGCTCCCTTGGGGTCCCTTTCATTGTGGGGAAGCTGATGGGGAAGAAGGGTGGATGGGGGAGCCTTTGATTCCAGAAAATTGCTGTCGGATATAAAAAACACTCTGGTACGAATTTTCAGAAAGGGAAAAATTTTCCCTAAGGGTTTCCATAAGAACAAAAGGAGCCTCTTTGGGCCTGGGAGGGTGGGTGGAACAGGACATTTAACTTCTGAAAAACTGTCGCAGATGATGACATCATCCTAAGCTGGCAAAAGAAGGCACTATTGGGTTTCAGCCAACATTTACCATGTTTCCCTGGAAAAAAGATACGGTCTTATGTTAATTTTTGCTCCAAAAAACGCATTAGGGCTTATTTTCAGCAGATGCTTTTTTTTCCCATGGACAACCATCTACATATATTCAAAGACTTTTTCCGATGGACAACCATCTACATATATTCAAAGACAGTCCTGTCATCTTCTTCTGGTTGCTGCCCAAGGGTGGAAGACGGGGTTTCACTGAACTGGGGCTTATTTTGGGGGTAGGGCTTATATGACGAGCATCCTGAAAAATCATACTAGGTCTTATTTTCAGAGAAACAGGGTACTTACTTGGGAGAAAGCCCATTTCTCACCAAACTGTCTAGTTACTGATAATGCTCCTTATCTCCTCGTGAAATGCTTTTCTGTGTTTTCATTATATAGAGAAACATGTAGGTAGGTAGGTAGGTAGGTAGGTAGGTAGGTAGGTAGGTAGGTAGGTAGGTAGGTAGGTAGGTAGGTAGGTAGGTAGGTAGGTAGGTA